GTCTAAATTAATGCGAATGAAATAATGAATGGTAAATATTATGAATATGAAAGAGTATTTATGAATAAGTGTTTATGCCTTTATACTCACAGACTAAATTAATGCGAATGAAATAATGAATGGCAAATATTATGAATATGAAAGAGTATTTATGAATAAGTGTTTATGTTCATGATTTTAATTCCATTGATTTATAAATCATCTTTATACTCACAGTCTAAATTAATACGAATGAAATAATGAATGGTAAATAAGTAAGTGTTTATGAATTTATGAATATGAAAGAGTATTTATGAATAAGTATTTGTAAGCATACATGATGTTTTAGGCAATTGAACAGCAAGTAAAGACCAAGTTGTATTTTTACTATTGGTATCTCGTAGAGAGAATAAAAGGGTATTATTATTTTTCAAGATGCTATATGCGCCAATACTAGTTGTATTAAAATATGTCAAATTAACTTTTGCATAATTGAGATAATGATCAATATCATAAATATAAATAAAGCAAGTGGTATCAACCACAGCGGAAAATATGTATCCGCCAACAGGTGTTGAAGACACACTCCAGGGCACATTAGTTTCGTTGGGAATTCGGTGTAATTGATTGAAAATTATAGATGTTTCTTGACAAAATATAATTTCTTCATAGTACACTGTGTTGTTGTAGATGATGGAAGCGACACAGTAGTAACAAAATCCAAAATGTGCATCACAATGAACTGCATTAATTTTCATGTGAGGTCTAGTTATTTGAAAGAGAAGAATAGGATTGTCGGAAGGATTGCTGAAAGTTTTGTTGTAGGCTACAAAGCTGGCGTACAATCCGCCAAGTGGACTCAGAAAATCGTCTTGATTCTTATATGTGACATACAATATCAAATAACCCTCATCAGCGGTTGTCAATGACGTAAAAATAGTAGTATTGTAACTTAAAAGTATGCCAGCACTTAACAGTGATAAATTTCCATTAGCATCACTATAATTAATTATAATGATTGATTTTATTGATTAAATAAAAAAAAATAATAAAATATAAAAAATAAGGTTATTAGAGAGATTAAATTACACTGAATATTGCGTGGCATTGATGAAATCGACGAAAACTACTGCTCTAAGAAAACCTAGTTCCTTGTTTATGTTTATTTCAATTAAACTTTTCTTCGGAGATTCCAAAGGTATTGAACTGGTAATGGATATTGAACTGGTAATTTAAAATAATAAATAATAATAATTCCAACAGTTAGTACATTATTAAAAATATTTAAATATTTCGCAATGTAAATTATCATCGGACCTTAGTATTTCACCGTCCCAATTAAGAACAGCTCCCCACTCTTCCCAATATTCAGAATTTGTAGTATTCATATAACTAACTAATATAAATGGCTTTTTTAAGGGTCGTATTGAAATAGGATTCACCATTTTGCCAGTATCGTTAAATAAACAATAATTTACAGAATCAAGATTTAAATTCGTATTAATTTCAGTGACGGATCCATTTAAATGGATAATTCTTATACGTAGTATGGGTTCAAAACAATGCTCAGTATTATTATTTCTAACAAGATGGATAAGACTTGTTCCGTCATCATAAAATTGAATGTCAATTGCATAAGGTTGTGATTGGGGGGATGTAGTATTTTGTGTACTCTCTGTATAGGTAAAGTTTGTACATTTGGTATTATTTGGTGTAAGCTGCAAGTTTGGACAATTAGTAATCTGCAAGTTCGATTCCGTTGATATTGATATAATGAGAAAGCTAAGCAATATATAGAATAGACTCGATATGACAAGGTTGCAAGATGTTTCCATGATGAATTAGTTAATAGAAGTTTTACGTAACATGCCAGAGATAAGTACGTACGGTGCAGGAAATTTAAAAAACCTCAAACATTTATGTAAACTACAGAACTAGTAGGCTACATAAATAAATTCAATCACAATAATAAGCCGTCACCGAATTTAGCCTGTTTCCAATATGTTTTTAACGTTAACGTCTATAAAGTGTTTGAGGATTTTAGATTTCCGGCATCGTGTGTACATGTACGTCGCACCTCAAGATTTTTTGTTATACCTAAATATGCAGGCTTACACATTGATCTACATGTCCGGATTAAACATTGCCGAGAATTTCTTTATTTGAGTTAATTATCCAAATTAGTTACGATTGTTTGTGTCTGTAAGTCATAACATTGACCTATTTTTGGTTTTCTCAGCTTTAGTCGTTTCAGAGTGTGGTCTCGTGAGTCATGTTCTATTACTGAACATATAAATTCCTGTTTCCGAAGTAATTCCATCAGTCCGTAGCTGTCGATTTTCTTTAGTGTTGGGTTTTCTTTAAGTTTTTTAGCTATAAACATTCGGTCTTGCGGTTTAAATACTACTAAATATTTATAACTGTAGTGCGCATTTAATAATTTATTAATGCGATTAATTTTACTTTGTATCTTATTTTTTTCAAGTTCCAGAAGTTTCTTAAATTTTTCAAATTGGAATATTTCTTTGTGTGACGTTGTCTCTACTTGTTTGGGATGTACAAGGTATTCATGGTTTGTCATGGTTGGAATATGTTCTTGTATTTCTTCTTCATCTATAAGACTTTCTATGTCTTCAAAGCAATATTTCGCTTGGTCATTATTAGTATATACTAGAGTTGGCCTCGAAACGAAACCTACCCGAAACTAGTTTCGGGAAGGTTCTTATCCGAAACTAGTTTCAGATTTTTAGAAAAAAAACTGAAACCCCAAAACCTGAAACTCCCAAAACTATAATCTGAAACCCCGAAGCCTAGTATTATATATAGAATAATTTTGAACAATTTTAGATATTTTTTCAAATTAAAATTATTTAAAATTTTATTAAAATAATCTATTTTAATTTTTTTACAAATGAGTTCAGTATAAAATATATAATATTATATAAAAAAAAATTTATATTATATATACTTAAGATAAAGAAAAACTTTAATTATTTAAGGAAAAAATCTTAATATATAAATATAAAATTAAATATCAATAAAAAGACAACTATTTAATTTTAATAATAATAAATATCATCAATATCATCAAAATTTTTTTGTGCTATTTCATTTGGATTATAATCTTTCTCATCTTCTAAATCATTAATAAAAGTATTTAATTAATTAAATTTTCTGTTTCTTGGTTATTATTTGAATCTTTAAAAATATTATGTTCTAAATCAATCATTTCTAATAAATTTAGATTTTTTTATGTAGTTCCTTCATCATCATCTAAATCATACTCATCTAAATTAATATATAAATTTTTATTATTTTCATTTTTATTGTTATTTTCTTCTTCTTCTTCAATTTGAGCATTATATAATTCTTGATAAATATCTTCTGCTATATATTCTTGACTATATAAATTCAATTCAGATTTTCTATTAATAATATAATAAGAATGAATTTTTACTAATGATTCTAAATTTTCAACAGATAAATTTGCTCTTCTTTTCCTGTCATCCATCCACAAATAGACCAAATTCTTTCACAACTTGCTGCATGTGGAGTAATTGAAAAAAGTTTAATTGCAAGCAATTGTAAATATAGTGGTATTGTTATACATGTTTTCCACCAACTTAAAGCTGTATCAACTTTAGATAAAAAAGCTGCATTAAATGAACTTTTTTGTAAATAAAATTCTCTAAATTGAGAAACAATTATATTACCTGATTGTTGTTTGGAATAGCTATATTTTTTTAATTGTAATGCAATTTCAGAAATTTTTATCAATTGTTGCCAAAAATTTGCAGCTGATGTTGCAATCCTTAAAAATTGTTTTTTTTTTGAATACTGCACCTAAATAATTTATAAATTTTAAAAATATAAATAATTTAAAATTAGATAATAATTAATTTACCTTTAAAATTTGGATAAAGAAAATATGCTAAAAGATATTTAGCAAAATCATATTCATAAATCTTTCATTAAATTTTTTGATAGCATATTTAGTAAATAATTTAGGATCTTTTTTAGAAAGTTTATAAATTGAATTTTCTAAGAATATTAATGCAAAATAACAATTTGCTAATATTGCATTTATACTTTCTAATTTGACAATAGCCTCTTTAATAGGTTTAAATATTTTAACCAAATTATAAATATCATAAAAAAATCTTTTTTTTTTTATAAATAATTGCTTTAACAGCTTCATTTATTATTGCTAAAAGATTTTCATTAAGAATCTAATAGAAATTATAAAATTAAACATATATAATAAAAATTATTAATAGTTTTATTACTTCTTTTAAACATGTTTCTAATTGATAAACTGATTTTAGCATTTTATAAACTGTTGTCCATCTTGTATCAATATAAGTTTTTAATCTACCACCTAATAGATTTTTTTTGGAAATTTTGGTAGCTAAAAGATTATTTGGTAAATGACTTTTTTTAAAATATGTAACCAAAGCCTTACACCATTAAATATTTTTAGTTGCAAATAGATATTTAATTAAATCTTTTGTAATAAGATTAAATGCATGTACAATGCATCTAATACTTAAAATTTGTGAATATTTTTGAAAAATTTGTTTTCATGCTAAATAAATATTTGATTCTGCATTTGTAACTATACCAATAAATTTTTCAACACCAATATTAATAAGTACTTTTTGAATGTCATTTATTAAAAAATTTGTAGTATGACTTGTTTCTGAAAAATCTAAAATTTTTTAAAGAATATCTCTAAATAAATAACAAAATTCTATAGTAATTTGCCTGTTAATCTAGTTCGTCTATCTAAAGCTAAAATAAATTAAAAAATTAAAATATTAAATTTTTTTTTTTTTTTTTTTTTTTTTTTTAAACCGATGTCTCGGGTGCTAGCGCTTTATTGTGTTTTTATATGTTTATTTACAAACATTATTG